CTATCTATCTATCTATCTATCTATCTATCTATCTCAGTCTGTTTCATTATTATCTATCTATCTATCTATCTATCTATCTACTATCTATCTATCTCAGACTGTTCATTATCTATCTATCTATCTATCTATCTATCTATCTATCTATCTATCTATCTATCTGTCTGTCATCTATTTATCTATCTATCTTTAGTCTGTTCATTATCTATCTATCTATCTATCTATCTATCTATCTATCTATATAAAACGAACAGAATCATATATATATATATATATATATATATATATATATGCATATCCATGTAAATTTAAATAAATCGTTCGCACAACAGAAATTTACAATCGCCTGATGACATGCATTGATACGCATCGAAACAAGACTGCAATTATGTAGCGATTTTGACATGTCTTCGATGTATATATATATATATATATATATATATATATATATATATATATATATATATATATATATATATGCATGATTTTGAATTCAGTGCCAGACGTTATCTCGAACTAGTCTACCCTACTATTTAACCTATAGCTGGGGGATAGGATGAAGTGATAGATTTATATCATTCCCAAGGCTATTCAAGCGAAAGTGTATGTAATGGACTCGACTGGAATTCGAACATCGCTCGCCCATTTCGCCTCTGACAAAAACTGGAAGTAATATACACACGGAATGACCAATAGTTTGTCTGTTCATAACAGGGAATTGAATATTTCCTATGGCGCCTGTCCTTTTAAAGGTAACAGCATTGATTAATCAGTGGTTCGTACCATTTGTGCAGATCTAATATATATCAACTGTTACATCCTTTTCTTTTTTATCTATTGCTTCTTAATAAATAGATAACGAATTTGAGAATCATCTTCTCCATAATGGCGTGAAAAAATGTCGAAATGATGTGAGCGTTCCTTTGGCCAATTCTCGACTTTATTTCAATTTTCTTTACTTCTCTGAGTATCTTAGGAATTAGGTGAAAAGAACAAAGGTGTGAAAGTTTCGAGACATGTCTGATAACGATAACTTTGAAGTGTTTATTATCGCAAGAGGAAAGGTCCGTTTCTTTATTCAGTATGAGTCGAATTCAGTTTCTCCTTCGCTCACTGACTACATTACAACCAATTTATGGCTCCTCGGCGGCTAGCCATAAACTTAGAGTAGTCTTTGGTTGGAAGTCTTTCGTTACAATCTAGGAACTATTCCATTCAAAATGGAACTCGGACAAAAAAAAAAAAAAAAAAAAAATGGAGGTAATAATCTGATTGATATTTTTATGCCAATGGTTTTGATTTGAAACGGCGCAGACTGTAGAAACGTAGCCGATACCGGTCCCGGCCTGGCATCTCGGCTTCAGTAACTTTCCCAACGCCGACTCTCTTTGGCGTTTCTATCAGGATTTTTCATGGTAATTATTCTGATGAGCTTTCCTCTTTCGGTTCCCCGATCTTACAAAACGAAGTTTAGTACTAGATTGGCAATTAGGTCCCATCATTTTACAGTTGAAATTACGGGATGTAACCGTAAGTTCTATGTTAACAATTTCTTTTGTCACACTTTACACTTGTGGAACTCTCTTCCAGCCTCTTGTTTTCAAGTTTACTTTGGTCTTCAAAGATTTTACTGCAATGTTAATCGCTATCTTCTGTCTTCTTTATTATTGCTCTTGATTACTTTTCTTAATAATGTTTTTCTTTTTCTCATATACTTTCGCATTCAGTAGCCCTTTGCAATTTATTGATTTTATTGCTTTGCCTGCAGTTAATAATTAATATATATATATATATATATATATATATATATATATATCGTTCTTGCAATGCTGTAGATATGTTGCGTTTGGGTTGGAGGATATGTGCCATTGCGTAGACGGTACTGTAACATGGCAATCAATTATTTTCTTCATATATATATATATATATATATATATATATATATATATAAATATGAGGGCAAATGCAGGGACAGTTTGGGGTCATGAAAATTGGTTGTCATGTTAATTATTTTCATGACACAAAACTGAAATTCATTGATTCACGCCATATATATATATATATATATATATATATATATATATATATATATATATATAAATAAAACTTACAATACCGATCAAAATTATGAATTTTCATTTCATTTTTGTTTGTTTTTCCTCATTTAAGTGCTATCTGATGAATAGAGTCCTTTAAAGAAGCTCTGTCATTGAAATAAATTATTATAATGGAACCTTAAAGTGAGGTCTGTTTCGAAAAAATATATATATATTTATATATATATATATATATATATATATTTTGAATTTTTTTTTTGATTACCATGTTACAGTACCTTGACCGATTTTTCACATATCCTCCAACCCAAATGCAATTTTTTACACACACACACACATATATATATATTTATATATATATATATATATATATATATATATATATATATATATATATATATATATATATATATATATATATATATATATATATGTGTATAAATATATATTATATATACATACATATATATAGTATACTTATATTTATATAGGTATACATATATATGTACAAACACATATGAAGTGTTAGGGAAATTATTAAGAAGTGGAAAATACATTAATTGTTAGTTAGTATATCTTTGCAGTTTTAATGTTTCATACCAGTTCTTCTTTAAATGAATGGTTGCGATGGATAAATTATCGTCTAAATGGCGCAAAAAATGAAAATAGCACTGACATCTCATCTTAACAGATATATTTACCAAGATTACACAAACATATCTTGAAATACTATAGACTAAATTTATTCACTAAAATCGCCATTGGCTTCAACCACGGCCTCCTGACAACTTCGGAATCTCCTTCAGATCTTTTGGACGGTTTCTTTGTTTAAGTTGCTGAATGCTGCCATAATCCTTGCTTTCAGTTCATCTTTTATATTACAAGGAGTTTGTTGGCCTGTGTCTCACGCATAATAATCAAAGGGGGTTGCGATTTGGGGAGTTATGTGGCCAGATCTGAGCAGTGATGGTCTCTTAGAAATTGTCTGACAGCCATGACTGTGTTCTCCAGCTTATATTGTATGGTGTAGAATCCTGTTGCCAGATAGACGTTCTTCCAGCAACCACCCTCTTGACAGAGGACAGCACTATCTTATGAATGAAAAAGTTTTAAAAAAATAAGCCGTTTTCAAAAAATTGACTGTGTTATTTTTTTTTTGAAAGTTTCGTTAATTTTTGAAAAGGAAATCAAATGCAGTAACACACTTGACAACACCATGCATAACGTGTTTGCTATAATCTTTTAAAAGACAAAACCAGCTTAAAACATGGTTAGCTTTCTTTTATCATACGCACCCACTGATGATACGAGTTTGAAATCCACTGACAGCATATCAACAACAAACACATTTTTCAAATGATATTGTATATTAATAACAAAGTTAATAGAATATAATAGTCATATAATATCTGTTGTTTTTTTCACAATATATGTATATATAATGCTAGCTATGAAGAACTAATATAAAATATGGAAACTACCAAATTTGCGAAAAAAAAAACAAACAAAACGAAACAAAATGTCGACAAATGAGCATCAAGACCAAAGCGGAACAAATCTATGGATGACTCCAATAATCCAAATAATTATTATCTTGCATCATAATAGTCTTAATGCAATTTTGTTAAATATAACAAAATGATCTTTCTCAGAATATCCATTGAAAGGCATCCGTGCACTTACACACGGACGATTTTTATTGACAGTGCTATTTATAAAAATTGCTGAGAAGTTGAGAGTAGCTTATTTGACAATCGCTGAAAGAGAATTACAAGAAAGGAAGGAAAGCAAAAACAAAAACAAAAAAAAAAAAAGAACACAACGTCGTGCGTTTCGTCTTAAGACATCAGCACATCGTGACACTCTGTGGCTTCCATACTTTCAAAAGAACAATCTGTGTCGCTTTGCTTTCGGGGAAAAAGTGAAATCAGAAGTCACGAATTATCGAATCTCTAGCCTTCTTATTTTCTGTGAGGTTATTGGGAAAAAGAAAAACGTCAAAACGAAACGCAAAAAAGAAAAAAAAAATATGGCATAAAACATAGAAAATCGGAAATAAACGAAGAAAAACGAAAAACGATGCGTGAAATCTATTTAATGATTTAGTTCGTGAAAAGTAACGACAAAATAACCAGCAATAACGTTAATGATGACTGGTAGAATGATCTAGAAGCTTCTTAAAATTGTTCTTGTCCCTCTCTCGCGAAAATGACGCACTGCCAATATCTCATAAAAAAAAATGGACTATTCCGTTTTGATCGTGTGGAAATGGTGGAAAAGACACTAGTTGCTGTGTGTGAGAAAAAAAGAAATAAAATAAGAAAAAATGAAATATAAAAGCGGAGAGGCAGAGAGAGAATCAAATTAAGCTGATGGGAACAGGTACTACACATATAATCTTAGCCAAAGGGTACCTCAACATGGTGTAATGGTTAAAATTTTTTTTTGTTAGAACAATTACGACTGAGTACCATTCGATCCGCACTGGGCGCCCCATACTTTCGACCTCTGGATTGACATCTATTCACGCTTGAAAAATCAATAGGGCACCTCGACGTGGTGTTATGAGCCAAGCTTAATACTCAATAGTGAATTCGATCCTCACCAGATTTAATTGACGGCCTTGTGCCACATGAGAATTAGATAAATATCCATATAATTAGGGCACCTCGGCGTTGTGTAATGGTTAGCAAGCCTATCTTGCTAGATCAATTACGACTGAGTAGTGAGTTCAATCTTCACTGGGTGCTCCATATTTTCGGCCTTGTGCCACATCTAAGCCGGGCTTAGAAAATCCCTAAATCTTAATTAGAAATAATGAGAATTTTCGCAACTGCGATAAATGCATTATTTTTCGGATACTCATTATGGAACGACTGAAACCGAGTAAGAGGAACACCAAAAAGACAGTTACAATAAATAAAATAACATCGTCTGTTGAATTGGCTAGAAAAAAAAGAAAGAAAGAAAACATCTTTGGCACTGGGGCAGTTTCGTGTAGTCCCCAATGAGGATCAAACTTACTAGATCAACAAATAATTTGTATTGAAAAGAAAGAAATTCGGCAAAAATAACTTCTAAAAGAAAGAAAAGGACTGAAAGAAAGAAAGAAAACGAATGAAAGAAAGAAAGAAAGAAAGAAAGGTAGATAGAAGTGTTTAAGGTCTCCTGCCAATACCTCATGAATAATGGACTCTTCTGTTTTGATAGCGTAGATAGAAGTGTTTAACGTCTGTTTCAGTGAAATTGAAAAAGTGGTCAATTTTAAATCATTTCATTTGTAGCCCCTTACTTCTTAATACAATGACCATGAAATAACCGTCCACAGAATCTTGGTATCGAAGGAACAGACAGAGTAAATTCAAAACTTTTGTCAACTTCTAACAAACTTCATTCTGATTTGTTTTTTCTTTTTGTTTTTTAGGCTGTATGTATTTGATTCTGGAAAGAAAGAAAGAAAGAAAGGCTGTATATATGTGATTCTGGAAAGAAAGAAAGAAGTTCGTGAGAAGAATAAGACTTTCAAAAAGAAAGAAAGAAAGAGAGAGACACTAGAGTAAGTACCTCCACTATTTCGGCATAAATTTTCTATATTGAAATTTAAAATGAATTTTTTACAATGAAAAAACATTCTTGAAGATTTCATTTTAGCTTTAATTGAAAGTTTAATAACTAAATTTACGATTTCTATTAATTAAACAATTCTGGTGTATTTCAGATAGAAACTATATACATTTGATTGTCAAATTTAATTTCAAATTTTTAAATTTTCTTAAAACGGCCATTTTCTTAATTTTAAGAAATTTGTAAACAAACACAAATTTATCGATTTTTAAAATATTTAAAAAAATTCTGACACGTTATTTTAGTAAAATTAAAAAATTTAAAGTTAAAGTAATCTGATTTCAAAGAAATCTTTGTTACTTATAGCATAAAAAAAATAATATACAACCAATTATTAACGAGCGGTCCTGTTCATCTGTTCGATCTTATTGATAATGGTTGATTGACGAGCCGATGACAGCTACTACTGATGACCATAAATGACATAATTTTTAAGTCTGAGTTTTTAAAAAAAATTATTCTATTTTAGTATGACACACACTAATGGAAATACAATACATAAAAATAAAATTATTTAGTGAAATAGTAAATGAAAAAAAAAAAAAATAATTTAAAATTTAAAGTTTACACTTTTACAGTTGATCGGAAAATACAATCTGTTAATAAACGAAATGTTTTGAAAAAGGCCACGTAAAGGGACAAAACCCTTAGATCACGTGACCTTGTTATAATAATGGCAATTTCTGTATATCATACATGGAAATAAGGAATGTATTAAGTAAAAAAATACAAATAAAAAAAAATTTTTTTAAAAAAAGTAGCTCAACTAAATTTATTAAACTTAGCAATTTTGGATTCGTAAATTTTTTTCTACTTAATTACTACATAATATTGAGGGCCCCTCCTAATACAGAATTTTACACGATTTTAAACTATTATAAATTATTATAATTAAAATTTCTTAAAAAACGAAAAAATTCTTGTAAAAATTAATTATTCATCAGAAAAAAATTATTTCTTCAGACAATAATGTCCTTAATATTACTTATTTACAAAAGCAATTAAAAGCTTTTCTAATTAAGTAATATCATAGTTTTATTGGATTCATTATTTTTCAATTCAGACAAGATTTTCAGTTAAGTAGCTCAAATTTGTGAATGAAAAGTAGGTTATTTACCATCTCCAAAGACTCCTTCTTTTAACAAAAAAATAAAATTGAGGAAAAAAAGGTTTTGGGCGAAATTTCATGAAATTAACTAAGTGGGGGTAACATATTTAAAAAAAATATTTTTTACCAAAATTTTCTAAAAACAAAATATTTAAAAAAAATAATTTCATTCATTTGTGAATAAGTCCTGAAAATTTCATTAAGATTGGACAATTATTTTATTTTTACAAGAATTTCCAAATCAATATGTTTTCAACGGTAAAAAACGCAAAAAAAAAACTATGTTATTTTAAACGTCGCCGCGATGACGTAAACAAAAGACGATTTTTAACCAAAATTTCGAACGTGTTAGAAAAAATATTAAAAATTTCAAAAAATAATTAAAACATACTTTTTTCTTTCATCTTAATAACATAAGCATTTTGACGATAATACTTTATTTTCTTTAAGCTTGTGGCATTTTTCATTTACGCTATGCTGTTTTTCCGCGAAAACAGTGGACATACTTACACTAGAGGAAGCAATAACGCTCCTGTCCTTTTAACGTGTGTTTTATTAAGATGGCGTATTAATAAGAAATATGCAACCCGAAAAGACTGGTTTCTGTTATAAAACATAGCAAAAAAAAAAAATGCGTGGTATTTTACGGTTCCTACTCGATGTCATAAACCCCCCCACAAAATGATTATAACGTGATATGCAGAATATAACTGTATAGTATTTAATGAATGTTTACTATTTTCCCCTAGAATGTCGAAATAATATGCCAGGTGTAAACATGTCAACCGCAGAATTTTCAATTTATATGCGTCTAGATAATAATAATAATAATAATACAACATTTAAATATGAAGAAAAAGATCCGAAAAGAATATTATGAGAGAGTGTGTTTGATGCAAGAAAGCGAAGTTAATAGGGTCAATAATATAAAGGCTATCAACACCTTAGCTATACCCGTAGTAACATACAGCTTCAACATTATTAAATAGAAGTTGAATGGCATTAAAAGATTGGACGCCAAGACCAGAAAAATGCTCACCCAAATAAGGATGCACCACCTGAAATTAGTTGATGATAGGCTCTATACACTAAGAGCTTTAGAAGGGTGAGGTCTAATCCAACTTGAATTAACTAAAAATTATAACAATCGGATTGAAAGCCCACCTCACAAAAACCAATGCCCCCTTCCTACAAATAGCAAAACACCAAATCCACTCCATCAACAAAGACGTTAGGTTCTTCAAGAAACAGCTTAATATACCTGAAATGTTATCAACAAAAAACGAAGCGATTGCCATCTACGCCAAACGAGAAAAACAGAAAACAAAACGACTTGATCAAATGAAATTATATATATATATATATATATATATATATATATATATATATATATGGGATGACAAGGCGTTTTTAGTAAAAATATCTAAAAAAGAACGAAAGACACTGATTTGGGCCAACAGAAAACACATCAATGGTTTGAGGACCACTAGGTTGAAAGCTGAGACAGAAGGCTTAATTATTGCAGCTCAGGACCAAAGCCTCACCACCAATGTCACATAATCAAGGCTGGAACTAACCCGAAATGCAGGGTCTGCGGAAAAAAATGATTATACCCACAGACATAAGGTAGCGACATATGTGCATTGGAAGATATGCAAGAAGCACAAAATCGAAACCACTGAAACACGGTATAAGGTCCAATCAGACACAGTTACCCAAAATAACAATGTAACTACCCTTAGGGGGATGCCAATTCAAACTAACAGGGAGATAACAGCCAACAGACCTGATGTTATAAAAAAAGACAAGAAATTTAGGAAGTGTATGCTCATTGACATAGCAGTACCATCTGAGAGAGACACCTCCATAAAAATTATGGCGAAATTGTCCAAATATAAGGACCTGGAAATCGAGATTATCAAGGTGTGAGGAATGAAGACCAACAGTAATTGGAGCTCTGGGACTGGTGAGAAAAGGAATGATCAATTTTACTAGCAGTGTCCCAGGTAACATCAACATACAAGTTTCCAGGAAGATCACCCTATTAGGAACATCTTATATACTAAGAAAAATGCTATCAAATAAAGGACAATTCTACTATTGGGCCTCCGGACTACAGTTTAGACCCGGCTCTACAGATTACAACGCAGGAAACATAACATACACAAATAATAATAATAATAATAATAATAATAATAATCCAGACCTGGTTACGGAGATAGGACCTGTTACAATTCTATGGGACTACACAACACACACTGACAGAACAATCAAGGCCAACCGCCCAGATATTGTTATTAAAGACCACAAACAAAAACGGTGCCTCCTTATTGATATGGCAGTCCCTGCTGACTGCAATGTATCTTTGAAGATATTCAAAAAGTTGTCAAAATACAAGGAATTTTGAAATAAAAATCTCGAAAATGTGGCATATGGGGAACATCAACAATCCCTGTTGTAGTTGGAGCCCTAGGATTGGTTGAAAAAAGATAAAATTTAGACTAATTGAAGGGATTCCTGGAAGTCCATGCCTCAAGGAGATACAAAAAATTGTTCTGACAAGTACAGCCCACACCTTACGAATGGCTGTATCTATGTATTTTTTTTTTTTTTTTGTCAGTGGAAAGTGTCATGACGCCATTTCTAACCTTAGGTCTCTGGGCGGGACCCGGAAAGAAATGTGTAAACGCCAGAAATCAAAGAAAAAAAAAAAAGAAAAAAAATAATAATAATAATTTCAAGTTCTTCAGGTTCTAATGTAGCTTTGGAGATCTTCAAAAATTATCAAATTACAAGGATCTTCAAAAGAAATTTGAAAAATTTTGCATGACATCAATTACGTTCATGGACGTGAATTTGAGAAGATGAGTTCTTGATTTTACACCTTACGAAGGGCTTGATCTATGTCATATTTTTATGCGTTTTTTTGTCATGATGGCATTTTATTTAACTTAAGCCTCTGGTTAAGACCTGGCAGGAAATAATTATAGAGCAGAAATCAATAATAATAATAATAATAATAATAATAATAATAAACTGCTACGCAAATAATGAATCTTTAGGTTCCCCACAACCAGGATAATCCCAATGTTGGCCCATCGAATTCTCCAACTAGACCCACAACCATCCAGTTAAAGAAAGAAAAGGTAAAATAGCCTCGTAAGGAGTACAACACTCGTTATGCCTGCATTCACTGAAGCGTTGCACAGAGACCTTAGGAAAGCAGCATTCGCCAAACACATGATATTTGGTGAAAAAAGGTTGGACAAGCAATTAGAAAGTACATTGGCGAAAATAAAGTAGCCAATGTAAGGAAGTACATGATGAGAAATAAACGATTGGGAGATGTTGAAATTAATGAAATAAAAAGAACTGCAAGCAGAATTGGTGAATCAACAGAACATGAAAGGGAACCGGAAATGGACATAAAAAGTTCTAACATTACACAAAGCACAGATCAAAATGAAGAAATTGATCTACACACGAATTAATGCGAAGATAAGAATGAAAGTTTAGAAGAGGTGAAAAAGCGGGATCTTAGTTGTTCACAAGTCTGAAATAAAATGAATCCAAAACACATTGAACCGAATTATTTTACGAAAAATAAAAATAATATAGAAGAAGACAAAGAAGAAATCATAAGATATAAAAGTCAGACAAAATTTATTGAAATGAAGGAACCAGAACAACTCCCAAAATAACGACCAACAAAACAGAACCTCAAAGGTATTTAACTCCACAATGCAGCACTCAAATTAATTCTGGCTTGGTTTGGTTTGGTTTATTTTGTTTAACGGCATATGGGTTATTTAATGCTGA